AGTTGAAGTCCACAAGTCTTAAAGTGGCCAAGTTTGAAGACCCTTGCCCTATACCAGGGGTCTCCAACCCTGGCAACTTTAAGACTTGTGGACTTCAACTTGCAGAATTCCTCAGCCAGCAAAGCTGTTTGAGGAATTCTGGGAGTTGAAGTCCACAAGTCTTAAAGTTGCCAGGGTTGGAGACCCCTGCCCTATACCATTTCAGACAAATGGTTGTCCAATCTCTGCTTAAAAACTGCCAGTGTTGAAGCATTTACAACTTCCGGAGGGAGGTTGTTACTAATTGAATAACTGCACTAATTCATTTAACAAATGTGGCAAGAAAAGTCGCAAAATGGGGGGAGGGGGGGAACCCACCTAACAAATTTCTCACTTAGCAGCATAAATTTTGGGCTCAATTATGGTCGTACGTTGAGGACAACTTGTACTGTAGAGCAATGTTTCTCAACTTCGACAACTTTAAGAAGTGTGGACTTTTAACGCCCAGGATTCCCCAGGCAGCCATGCTGGCTGGGGAATTCTGGGAGTTAAAAGTCTATACATCTTACAAATTGACAGGGCAGGGAAAAAAAGCTGCTGTAGGTAGATTTTGACATATTTAGAGCATCCACTGAAAGTGAAATGGTGTGACTGTAATAGTATAGTTGCAGACGGTCTTGAAATGAATTTGAAAATGCAGAAGTAAATAATTAAATAATGATTACATTAATGATGTGGTAAGAGAGAGGTAGGCCCATTGTGATGTTTGTTATTGCATTTATTGTTTAGAGCAAATTTTTGTCTGAGCAAAAAGTACCTCTAGATAATCATTACTGTGTGGAATTGAAGCACTGGAGGTCTCTTCTTCAGTAGTCTTGAACTCAGCTCTTCCCCTTGGTTCATATTTGTTACTGTGTTCCTTGGGATCTACACAGACAGTTCTTTACTTACAAAAGCTTACTTAGTGACTGTTCAAAGTTACAACAGCACCGGAAAAAAGTGACTTGTGACCGTTTTTCACACTTTGTAGCATCCCCGTGACCATATGATCAAAATTCAGATGAATGGCAACGGATTCATACTTATGACCGTTGCTGTGTCCCAAGATCATGTGATTCCCTTTTCGACCTTCTGACCAGAGGTGGTATTCAGCCAGTTCTGACAGGTTCTGGAGAACCGGTAGCGGAAATTTTGAGTAGTTCAGAGATTTGGCAAATCCCACCTCTGACCGGCCCCACCCCCATCTATTCTCTGCCTCCTGGGTCCCAGCTGATTGGCTGGGTCTTCTTTTGTTTCCCTACACAGGAGAACGGAGCTGGAAAGCAGGTTAATGGGGCGGGGAGGGAATGGAGATTTTGCAGTAACCTTTCCACCAAGACACACCACGCCCCACCAAGCCCACAGAACCGGTAGTAAAAAAAATTGAATCCCACCACTGTTTCTGACAAGCGAAGTCAATGGAGGAAAGCCAGATTCACTTAACAACCAGGTTACTAACTTTATCAACTGCGATGATTCATTTAACAGCGGTGGCAAGAAAGGTCGTAAAATGGGGGGGGGGACTCAGTGAGCAAAAACGTCTTGCTTAACCACAGAAATGTTTGGCCTCAACTGGGGTTGTATGTCGAAGACTATCTGTACTTAAAAGTTTTCTGCCAAAGTGCTTATGGAAAACCAAAACCAGAATTCTTAGCCATTCTTTGATTAAAACCAATTGAAACCACCCAAAGGCTGTGCGAGTTTTCTGACTTGCTGAAATGGGGATTAATCAAGAGTTTTAGAAGGACTCAGAAAGTGGCACACCCCTTTGTGTATTTTGGCCGATCTTAATACAGATATCGTATAGCTATGGATTTTGCAACAGCTCTGTTCCATCACTCTGTTGACTCCATGGAACCTAAGCCACCCATTAAATCACCAGGTCTGGTGCAAATATATTCAAGGACAATTTGGAGTGAGAAAGAGTGAGAAAGATTGAGAGTTCACAAAATAAGTCATATATGCAGCTGC